TCTCCCATAGATCGAACTTGTATTACCAGGATTCAAGAGGAGATGAAGATCCAGCTTGTCAGATTGCGATGATCATGTACATAATCTTCTTCTTTGTTTCGCCATTAGAGACAAATCGAAGCTCCAAAGTTGAATGGAACCAAAGACGAAACCACAACAGTGGATTGAGGTTTCCGATGTTGACCAAAACTCTGACTGAAACTCGATTGTGCAAACAATCGATGAAATCGAAGAAAATCAAAGAGAAAACGAACGAAAATGTGAGATTTGAGCTACAAATGTTCTGAAACCATAGTAGAGACAAATAACTTTTGAGGAAAACAGTTTCTCATTCACTTTCTTCAACCAAGATACAATGTACATGTATTGTATATATACACAAAATCAAACCTAATGTAAGAATCAATACCAAAAATGATTCAGAGCTTACCAAGACGAGGAGATGTATGAGCAGGACCGGCCCTGAGATTTAGAGGGATCTAGGCGAAAAAAAAATTAGGGGTTTTATAGATATATTTTCAATTTGGAGGCTTTTTTGTAAAAAAATAAAATTAACAAACGAGAAAAATTTGGGGGCCTAAAGCCCATGCCTCCTAGGCATGTCCTCATGGCCGGCCTGTGTACGAGTAGGGGTATGGAGCGTAATGGAGCGAGCTTGACCACAGAGATAACCAAGTACTTGGAAGGGCTAGGATTCAATAATCACCAGCCACATGCCTATTTTGGAGATTTTAGTAGAGCCATATTTAAAGATCAACGACCATAATCACATATTGTTCACACATACTTACCCAGAATGCATCAACTTTAGAACCACCGAGTAAATGAAGACTTCTCTCGACCAAAAATAAAGATTCACCAAGAAACAACAAATTTTAAGAAGAATGATCGAGAAATATTTATGCATCATTGGCCTGGATTGAGAGATCATAAAGAAACGTACCAGAACCGATAACGAGCACACCTACTTACCCGATGGGATTCATTTTTCATCCAAAAGTCAACTATTCTAAGGTGTTTGATCGAGGAAAATCACCACATCACCGAGCTAATTCAAGAAATGGTCCATGGAGCCTTTCCACGGGTCATTTATCACCTAATTGGCAACTTTCCTTAAATAGTTCTTTGGAGAACCACGTGTGGCAATCAGGATACATCCTCCATCAACTAGAGGCTCACCATTGTGGATTTACTCAAGGACCGATTTGCCTTATATAGAGCCAAACTCATTCAAGTCTGATTTGTATCATATAGTCCCAACAGCTATTTTCTTTCATTTTGATGTGATTTCTTTGTCTCTACTATAAAAGCTCACTTTAGTCGCTCGTTAATATTCAGTCTAATTCAAGTTATTAATAAACCTTTGTGTGTTTTGTTTAAAAGAGTGTAGTCTTTTGTGTTCTTGTCATTCTAACTCTATTGGTGTGATTCCTTTAGCCTTGTTTGATTATTTTTCTAGTGTGTTCGTGAGACTCAAACATTCTTGTTTGTGTGTTGTTTGATTGAACGATAAAACTCCATTCCAATTTGACCATCGTCCCATCAATCCATCTCAAGGGGTAAGCCTTGAAACCGAGGTATAATCTAAAGTGTGACTCTGAAGATTTGTATCAAAACCGATTTCCTATATACAAGTAAACCGAATCTATACCAAATATACGCATTTGAAAGAGACCAAATTATTTATGTGTTCTTTGTTCAATGAGATATATTTGATCGTCATGAGTCATGACCTCAACGACAATCACATAAGCTTCTCCGTAATTATATTACTGACAATCTGATTATTGTTCGATTACTTCTCATCATCTTCACCGCCGCCATCTCCACCATCTACCATTGAAAACCCAAAGTCGTCCCTATCTCCACTGCCACCACCAACTCCAATTTTCTTCACTGTCTTACGACCACACTTGACCTCTTCGTCTCTGGTTATCGTTAACTTGAGGTGGTCCAAGCATAGAGAGAATAAGGGGGAATTTAGGAGGAAGAAAAGATGTAAAATACAAGAGAGAAGAAGGGGGGAATGAGACAATGAAAGAGAACCATATATAAAAAATCTCACTTCAAATCTACACCACACGATTTTTCTTTATTTTTTAAACGAACGGTTTAGATCAGTTCTCATGTAACTACATATTTTACCATGCGAGAAAGAAGAAGAAGAGTTTGAAACATGTGAGATATCTCTGGAGTCACTTGCCGTTTTATTATCATCTCAATATTTATTTACTAAATAACTCACACACACACTCTGTCTCTTTATATCTCCACATCAAAGTTACCAACAAAGACAAACGAAAGAAACCTCTAAACTTGAAGAGTATTGAAAACAAGTGAATTCCTCTGGTTTCTTACTAGATCAAGCGATTCAGTGTTGTACTCAGAGATCCACTGATTCAATTATTCTTCTGCTCTCTCTTTGTTTTGTCGAGATTCTTGTGTTATCCATTGTGTTTTCAAGAAAATTTATTTGTTCTCTATTTTATTTAAGGGACAATTTGGCTAATAAGGTATATGGAGAACATTAATAAAGAATATAGCCACGATGATAGTATAATTAGGAAAGTAACAATTTAGTAGTGGACTTCCACACATATTTATCTCTATCTCTACATCGGCGGACGACGGTGGATCCATATGCGATAAGATTTTGACTAAATCTTCACCGGCTTCGTCGTTAGATCTAGCCGTCGGCATTGCACATTCACCTCCAAGCAACGCATCTACACTGGAATTCGGATTTCTTCCCTCTACTTTCACCGGTGAAATCTCCGATTAAATATTCTTCTTTTCCGAAATCCGAAACAGTACATTCTGAGCAAGTGGATATGCGATGGTTGGGTATTGTTTTCTCACCGGAGTGCTTTTGTCTCTGCAAAGAATCAAAAAGAAAGAGAAAAATCAAACATCGAGGGGACATCTGAAGGAGGAGAGGAGATCGGAAAAAGGAGAGAAGTAAAGGAAATGAAGAGATTTTAGGCATTATACATGAAATATCATAGCCGTCCTAATTTAATGGTTACTTGATGAATCAATAAATTTTTGTGAGTTAGTTTTGCTAATTTCTCTTTATTTAATATTTATTTATATAAAAACAAAAATACAGTTTTCTAGTTGGGGGAGAGCGAGCTTGCCTGGTGTCGCCGTCTTCTCTCTCTCTCTCTAAGAGTTGTGCTTAATTTACGGACATGTGAGGATACTTGCTTTTCCCTCATCAAGACCATGTTAGCCATTACTTA